TCAAAGCTGTAACTATGGACTGTGGCTGGTAGGAAAGAGCAAAGTGGACAGAGATGAGTGATGGTTTAGACCTAGATCTAACCACACATGATGAAGGAAAGTGGGGCATGAAAGGGAGATTGGAGACCAAGAAAGTACTCTGGGGGGGCTGGATGGTTGCGGGTGGGTAGAGGGCATCACATTATCCACCCGAAGAGGAAAGGACCATGGGAGGAAGAATGGGTTCGAGGAAGTAGAAAGAGCTCTCTTTTTGAAACGTTGGGGTTAGGATGCCTATGGGACACACATCCTACAGGAGAGTAACCTGTAGGCAGTGAGATGCGCAAGCTTCTGGCACAGAAGGACCTGGGAAGGAGCTAGAACTATGTCACTGGCATGTAGTCATTGAGGCACGATGCGGATGAGGTTACTGAGAAGGGGAAGGGAGAAAAGAAACAGGGCCTTGGGGAAACCTATGGAGTCAATGGCAGGGTCCCAGGTCCAGAGCAGTGTACCTTGTCCGCATCTAGGGCCACCAGGATGGAGTGCCAAGCCACGCAGGCTGTTGGGGACAATTGGAGGCCAGCCTCCGGTCCACCAGGAAACCAAAGTGCAGATCTGAAGCCTGGTTAGTACCATCCCGAGGCTGGGGTCAAGCTGCAGCTCCGTGGGCACCCAGCCAATCCCCACTTTCCCGAGTGATGGGAACACCGAGGTCAGGGCAGCTAAAGCAAATTCAGAGCTTTGGAGGCTTCCAGAAATGACTTAGAAAAGAACCGAGCGGGTGAGGTCTCCAGGCCTGCCGTTGAGTAGATAGTGGAAAGCAGGACAGAATAGGCTTGGGGCATATACCTCCGGTTCTGCGAATTGAGCCAAGTTGCTGGGGTGCTCAGAGCCCCAGTTTCCCCCTGTAAGTAGGAGATCCTGGTGGCACCCACCTCACAGGTTTATTATGAAGACTGAGTTGATATTTGCAAGATTTCAGAGCCGTGCGTGTCACACAGATGAGCACTTGTTAAACAAAGGAAACGTATTTTTCTCCTTTACCCCGTAACTTAAACATGCCATTTCTGCAGGGAAGGCCATCTAAGACACACACCTCCCTCAACACAAGTCTAGATTCCCCTCTCATATGACCTCTTGGTACCCTGTACTTCTCCTCCACTGTATGTATCAAAAATACCTAATCATCGGGGCGCCTGGGTGGCTCAGTCAGTTGAGCGTCTGACTTCGGCTCAGGTCATGATCTCACGGCTCGTGGGTTCGAGCCCCGCGTCGGGCTCTGTGCTAACAGCTCGGAGCCTGGGGCCGGCTTCGGATTCTGGGTCTCCCTCTCTCTCTCTCTCTCTCTCTGCCCTCTCCTGCTCATGCTGTCTCTCTCTGTCTCTCAAAAATAAATAAACATTAAAAAAATAAAAAAAAAACCAACAACCTAATCATCTCTGTCTACTTCAACAGAATGGAAGCTCCAAGCCATCGGAAGCCACGTTTGCACTGCATGAGGCTGCATTGCACACAAGGCACAGCCTTTTGCGCATAACGGGTTCTCAGTATTGTTGAGTGAATGAACGAACGAACGAATGAATGAACGGGCGAGGGTTGTGCCTTCTTCCGAATGCCCAGCATGTGGCAGAGCCTCACATAGGAGGTGTCCCTTAAATGATGGCTACATTGACCCTAACCAGAACTCCTGAGAGAGTCTAACCTAGCAAAATACAGATCTGGGTACTGTCACCATACAGGCGTTAGCTACGGCCTCGGGAGTAGATACAGGTATGCCACGGCCCCTGGCCGGTCAGCACGGAGGTGCTACACCCAGTCCTGGTGACCTGTCCTGCCAGGTGCTGTCTCTTTAGTCTCTGGATCATGGGAAGCCCACAGGTCTCCCCGGGAGCAGGTGTGCTGCCTGTGGGAGGCTATCAGTTCAGAATTGAGGTTCTTTCCCACCAGATAAGGAAATACTGCACTATATTAAGTCAGCCCAGAGGAGCACATGGAGGGAGAAGGGACAGCTGATAAGATAACAGTCCTGGGAATACCCACGCTTCAGAGATGCACAGAAGAAATTCCTGCAGAGGAAACTGAGAGCAACAGAGCTATGGAGGAGGAACCAGAACACTGTTCTATAGTGCCAAATGTTGCAGCCACCTCCAGTACATAGAAGAACAAAGCCGTCCACTAGGAACATCAATATTAAATGGGTGACAGTTCCCCGAGGGATGTCCCCGAGTGCTGAGGGCCGCCAGGATGCTGATTTATTGGAAAGAAGAGTGAGGAACGGAGACGAAGGTACAGGTGTCAATCGTCTCGTATCAGGAAAGACAGGGCCCCTTATCTCGGTTAGAGACCGCTGCTGATGTCAAGAGAGCTCTCTAGCTATTTATTAACTTACGTGTTTGTGAAAAGAGAGACTCACGCATACTTAAAAAAAAATATGAAGGGGCCATTAGGAACGGAGCAGTCGACAATACTGAAGCAAGGATAATTAGTACCTTTGAATAATAAGTTAGCTGCTATTGGCTATCTGGAGGGAAGAGAGAGCCAGAAAAAGGAAGACACCCCCTCTTCAAATATGTACGTATCATTCACAAAATTGATTTTATTCTGAGACAAACAATGTGCTCATTAAGATATTAGGTCCTGAAAGGGGGAAACCCCATATACCACATTCACAAAGAGCGATGTAATAAAACAGGGAATAATCAACCAAACAATGAAAAGCACTAAAGTCCTGGATATTCTAAAATAACGCCTGCATCAAAAGGGAACATATGATTGGGGCTGGGGCGGGGGGTTGCGGGGGAGAAGCAATAAAAAATAATCAGCTCACAACATACTGCCAAAGTATGTTATGTATTGCTCTAGATATGTTTATATTCACAATAAAGTGTCTGAAGCATTATGAAAGAAGTCTGTGCTTAAAAGAACACTAAGCCGGTGAACAAAGCCAAAAGAAGGAAGTGGGAGAGAAAAAGTCCGAAAAAGAAAACACAAAAAAGCAATTACAGTAAACATTTTAATGCATCCTAAGAAAATATATGCAGTTCCAAGTATGATCTCTGCAGATGATTTCAGAATGTAAAGAACAGATGGCAACATTTAAAGAATAATTATAGCTGTCACTTATTAAGTAGCTCCCATAAATTATCTGTCTTTACAGCTTTGTAATAAAGATCTTTTTCTTTTTCTTTTTTTTTTTTTTTTTTTTTTCATTTTACCCGCAAGGAAACTGAAGCTCAACCAGAATTTGAATTTAGTCATTGATTAAGCTGTTTCCTCTACACCAGGTTGTCTCTGTTGGGAAGAGACAAACAAGGCAGAGAAAAGTGAGAAAAAATTAAGGGTGATAAGGTGAGCGCACAGCCCAGATTTTCATGCACAGTTCAAAGTGGCCGTTATAAAAATCTATTAGAATTTAGTCAAAAGCCAAAACTTATCTATGATACACACACAATGAATATCCGAACAGTACCTTAGTGTTTTCTTCAGACTCTCTCTCCAGGAATATTTACCTTGTACTTTATTCTCTACCCCAATTATTTCATTAAATCTTCACAAAATTGGAATTTAAGACACCAAATGAGCAAAGGAAAAAAAAAAAAGAGAGAGAGAGAGAGACAAACCAAGAAACAGACTCTTAACTCTAGAGAACAAATTTCTGGTCATCAGAGGGGAGGTGGGCCAAGGGGTGGGTTGAACAGGTGACGGGGTTCAAGGAATGCACCTGTTGTGATGAGCACAGGCTGAAGCATGGACTTGGTGAATCACTATATTGTACACCTGAAACTAACATAACGCTGTGTGTTAACTATACTGGGATTAAAACAAAACAAACAAACGGGTGCCTGGGTGTCTCAGTCGGTTAAGCAACCTCCTTCGATCTCACAGTTTGTGAGTTCAGGCCCCGTGCTGGGTTCTGTGCTGACAGCTCAGAGCCTGGAGCCTGCCTCAGATTCTGTGTCTCCCTCTCTCTGCCCCTCTCTCACTTGTGCGCACGCGCGCTCTCTCTCTCTCTCTCTCAAAAATGTATTTATTTTTAATTTTTAAAAATTAACTTTAGTTAAAAAAAAAACCCAAATATTCACAAAATCCTGAGAATGGCATTTACATTTATTCCTATTTACTGGGTGAGGAAATGGGAAATTAGAAAAATTAATGGCTGACCAAGGATCCTACAGATCCTACAGATCCTACAGAATGGGTCAAGGGACCCATTCTGACGTCTAATGTCCACTGATCTAGTATCACGGGAATATTTACAAGCCAAATCTATGTTTACATTTGAGATGTAGTTCACATTCCACAAGAAATTCACCCTGTTACAGTATACAATGACTATTTTCACGAGGTTGCCCGATGATCACCACTCTCTCATTCTGGAACATTCTCACCACCTCCCAAAGCGCCCTGGGACCTATCAGCACTCACTCACCTACCTTCTGTTTCTATGGATTTGCTTAGGCTGTGCCTTTCCTAGGACCGGACTTAGTCACATAAATGTGTGGCCTTTTGTGTCTGACGTCTTTCACTCACCATACTGTTTTCAAGGTCCGCCATGCTGTAGCAGGTATCCCGGGATTCAAGAGTTGAAAGACCAACCCAGACATCCCCTACCAAGTCCTCTCGACTTGCAGATAGAGAAACCGAGGCCTAAGATAGCCCACAGAGTTAGTGGCACCCAAGTCCTCCACCGTCTAATTCTGTTATTTCTACCGCACCACGACCACCAAGAAAATCGGTGTAACAAAAAAGAGTTTTCACAAATAAATAAAAATATTGCATTAGGTCAACACCTCATACGTTAGAAATAAAACAGCATACAGTAATATAAGCTGATATTTTACTATTGTCAAATTTTGCAAGGAGCCCCCTAAATCCTTTATTTCATGTGATGCGGGAACGGTACCGGATGTTCAGGTGAGAAAACGGGGCATAAATACCACGGCACGCCTCTGGACTTGACGTCAGCTTTCACTCTCTCTGTACAAAGCGAACTATTTAGAAAGTAGAGTCTGAATTACCCTTAACGAAAGCTCCAAATTTTCTGCTCCCCAGAGGTTCATGCCCTTGTCGTACTGTCCGATCTCATGAAAGTAATGCCTATTTATAGCAAAAATTCCCCCAGCCATTGCAGGTGACCTAAAAAGGATACATAAATATTAAATCACAGGTTCAGCCATTATGGATTTTTGCCAAATTTACGGTGAATGTTAGCAATAACATGAAAACTAGAAAACGACGATATTAAGACCAAAATCGTTAACTTAATGTATATTTAACTTGATGGATATACATTACATTGAATGTAAAATTAGTAAATTGAAGCCATAACTACCTAAAAGTAGGCAGTAACTTTCCACTTAGCTCTCACCAAATTGTGTCAGCTATATATTCTAAATGTTGTCTTTTTCTCTCTTTTTTTTTTTAAGTTTATTTAGTTTTGAGAGAGAGAGAGAGAGAGAGAGAGAGAGAGAGGGCATGAGCAGGGGAGGGGCAGAGAGAGAGGGAGACACAGAATCCGAAGCAGGCTCCAGGCTCCGAGCCGTCAGCACAGAGCCTGACATGGGGCTTGAACTCATGACCTGTGAGATCACGACCTGAGCCAAAGTCGAGTGCTTGACTGACTGAGCCACTCAGGCGCCCCAAATGTCGTCTTGTTCTTAAAAGGGAACATCATCTTTAGAATGTGAGTTTCCCCTGGAGATAACTACTTGACTTGGGGAGTAGAGCTTACAGATCTCCCTTTCTAAGCACGTTAAGTGAATATACTATTTACTTCTGGGAAAACCATGAAGTTACAAAACATCTTTTTTGTTTTGTTTTGTTTTGTTTTGTTTTGTTTTGTTTTGTTTTGTTGTCCCACGACAGCAAGGCCCAATAACACCGAACTGAGTAGTATGAAAATAATTTCAAGTTCATTTATTCATTCATGTTTGAAAAAGTACACATGAAGCACCTGTGATGTGTTAGGGAGAAGTTAGTGCATCAACGGGCCAAGATCCCAGCTCGTGCGGGGGACCAGGGTGGAGGGAGGGACACTAGTCGCTGCAGTGGTGCCAGAGAAAGACAATGGAGTCATGGATAAGGTAGCGGGACGTGGCCCAGTGTCTGATGTATTTTGAGGACGGGAGACAGCAGGTTTGCTTACAGGTGGGGGGTGGGGTGAAGGAGGAAGAGAAGGATGAAGGCTCACCCCAGCGTGTTGGCCCGGGGACGTCACATCTGCACTGAGATGGAGATACCGAGTGGGCAGGTTTTGGGGGGAAGATTCAGCTGGGGACATGAGTGAGCTCTCCATTCACTCTAGTGGAGACGCCAGTAGGCAGGTGCATGGAAGCGTCTGGCACTCTGAGAGTGGCCGGGGCCAGAGACATAACTTTGGGAGTCCTCAAGATATGGCAGATACACAGCACTCTGGCAGCGAGGGGGGCGTGGAGGAGACCACGAAGAACTGTCCCGGGCACCGTGACAGCAAGAGGTCGGAGGAAAGAGAGGGAAAGAGGAGCCACCGGTGCAGGAGGAAGACCGGAAAACCGTCTGCCGGTGGGCCCCGAGGTGAGGACTGAGAACCAGCGCGGCACCAACACGGGAAGACCACTAGCGCGTTTTAGCGGGTGGGGGCGCAGAGCCAGATTCAAGCGAGTCTGAGACACCAGAGCACAGAGTTGGAGATCGTGACACAGCCAGCTTTTTCTAAGAGGCTTTAATGCGAAGGAGAGCAGAGGAAAGGAGAGGCGGCCGATAAAGGAAGATTGTTTTTTGTAATCGGGAGAGGTGACGGTGGGCCTCGAGAGGAGCGGTCTCATCGGGTGGGCCAGATGCGACCCGCCCCGTCTGCGCCCTGGGTCACCGTGGTCCTGGCCAAGCCAGGGGGCCCCGCTGCCACAGCGTTGCATTGAAATTACATCTCTACCCGACTTCCTTCGCACTGGACTCTACACCCTCGAGGGCAAAGGCCACGTTTTCTGTTGTGACCACAGTGTCTGGCAGCAAAGAGTTGTTAAACTGATAACTGAAGCAGGTTCACAAACCGGTCTTTAAAGTTAGGCCGTAGGTTCTGTTGAAAATAGGGTAAAAAAATACTTACAGCTCAGAGAACCCAAGTTACACCCTCTCAAAAGGGAAAGCTTTTATTCTAAAAAAAAAAAAAAAAATCTCAAAACTGCTGGGAAGTGTGTGCATGTGTGTGTGTGTGTGCACATGCGTGTGTCTTACCGGAGAAACGTTGAGTCATGGTGCTAACTCGGGCACGTCTGAGACACCGGGAGAAAGGATAAAACGTCGTGATGCGTCCTTGAAGAGGCCCCGGGTGGAGTACAGGGGGCACGTCCCTTGGTAGCGGTGACCTCCCCCCACCCCCGCACGTCCCCTCCCTGGGGAAGCTGCGGGGGGAGCCACTGGTGTGAGCTCAACGCCACAATTCTCCTTGCTTGCTCTAAGTTTGCCAAAATTCCCTGCATCTACAGTTTTTTTTTTTTGAGCTGTTGCAAACGTGAAGAAATGTATCTTCAGATGTGAATGCTAATTAATGCCATGGATAATACCTAAAATTCATTTTTCCTTTTAACCCTTTAAAACTACCGACTTTTTCTTACGTTATCATACATTATCCTTATGATATAACAGTCGAGCGTTGAATCACATGAGTTTGAACTGTGTGGGTCCACTTACATGTGGATTTTTAGATAAATACAGCACAGTACTGTAAGTGTATTTTCTCTTCCTTCTGATATTAACATTTTTTTTTTTGCTCTAGCTTATTGTAAGAATACAGTATGTGATACACGTGGATTTAAAACATGTTAATCAACTGTTTATATTATCAGTAACACTTCAGTCAACAGTAGGCTCTTAGTAGTTAAGTTTTTGGGGAGTCAAAAGTTAGTATGTACAATATACATTCTATAAATAATTAGTATCATACTGTGTTTTATGGCCTGAGTTTTTATTTAGCCTATTGTGAGAATTTTCCTTTTACATTAATTAGCTTTCAAAACCTTTGTATAATATTCTACAGAGTATGAATATAGTTTTTAACCATTTTAATATTGAACGTTTATGTTGTTTTTATTTTCTAACTGATATGAATGTTGATACAATGTGTGTCTCTGATTTACTTCTCCTTAACTCCTTAGGGAAACAGTTCAAGAAGTGGGAGTGTTGCGTTAAAGAATAACGTAAGATTTTTAATGTATATTGTCAGATTGTTTTCAAAAAGCACATGTGATTATGTGTATACTAACAGTGTATTAGAATTCAAAAAACGTTACTACTCAGCGACTATCAGGAATATAATTTCCCTAGTAAAATTTTTAGAGCCTAAAGCACGCCTGATGTGTGAAATATGGAAACATTACAAAATTATGTAGATCTTTTTTGTAAATGGAATACTTCATTTTAAATTAAATAAGTTCATTTTGAGATGAACTCCAAAGATCGATGGTTTATTTATTTATTTTTTTAGTAAATTAGGATGTCTACGCACGACCTTTTATTTATTTAATTTCAAAATTTTTTGAGTTTATTTATTTTGAAAGAGAAAGAGAGAGAGTGAGCAGGCAGAGGGGCAGAGAGAGAATCCCAAGCAGGCTCCACGCCGTCAGCACAGAGCCTGACGCGGGGCTCGAACTCACGAACCGCGAGATCATGACCTGAGCCAAAACCAAGAGTTGGATGCTCAATCGACTTGAGCCACCCAGGCGCCCCACGTTACATTTTATTTAAATACAATGTGTCTTTGTCCCTTTTCATTTCGAAGTCTCTAACAGTAACAACAGTAAGTATGTATACTGATCACTTCCCCTGTGTCAGGCCTTGAGCTATGTTCTTTCCAAGTGGCGTCTCACTTAATCTCCTCACTAAAGCAGAGAGGCGTGTCTTTAATATCATCACCATTTCACAGGTGAAGGTACTGAAGCTGAGAGAAGTAACAGACCCAGCAGAGGCTACCTTACTGCACAACTCCATGGATGCCAATCACCTCTAGTCTTTATGAACAGTACCTTCTGGAGATGAGCAGTACACAGCCTATACAGCTGCACGTAACAAGTGATGGCTGGAGCAGAGCAAATATCGGAGTTATACACAGTGGAAGGCACGTGAAGGGATCTATTATCCTAAAAGCAATGGAAAGACATTGGGTGACACGGGCAAAGTGGAGTTTTAAGAACCATGAATGTAGCCAGAGAGAGATCGGACTGAGGGAGGACAGCCTGCAGGCCAGACTGTTCCTTACAGTGAGGGCCTGGACCATGGGGACAAGCAGAGAGATGGACAGATGTGGTTGCGAGTCGTCACAATGGATGGGGCACCCGGAGCGGGTTAATCACTGGATTAGAGTAGGCAGTGGGAGACTGCAGGTGTGGTCATGCTTATGGCTATGTAGCATTCCATTATGGTTCCAGAGTAAGGTACTAAATAATTCCCCAGTTATTCCTCCCGACTCTTAGTCCTTATCTCATCCTCGAATTTCGTCACCAAGGGCAGGGGCTCAGGGTGGGGATAGGTACTGGGATCAAGGGAAGTGATAAGGTTTGGAAAATCCACTTGGAGCAGTGAGACTGTAGAGAAGCACAAGACTGAAACTATCAACGTGTAGAAGCGTTAAGTTCACGTCTCTTAAAGGAACAAAAAACATGGTGGACTTGGTCCAGAGTTGGAGATTCGCAGGGCTACTGTGGCAGAAGGGGAGAGGGATGTGGCAGTCGAAGGTGTTGGCAAGAAGAACCGTGAATTTATAGATCAGAAAGTCTAGGCCACAGAAGAAGAAAGAAACCGTGAACAGTAAAAGCAGAAATCAAAGAACTGGGGATCCTGATGATGTCCAGGGGGAGGTGTGGGCGGAGCAGAGCAGGAAAAAGTTAGGAACACCCCAGGCTGTGGCCAAAGAGACGATATCCGGTAATTTAGAAGAGAAAGGTACAGGATATGGCTGTAGGAATAATAGTAGCTAACAGGTATGAAATAGCTAATATATATGTAGTACTTATTATGATGGACAGATACTGCTCTAAGCTTTGATATACACTGAGTCATTTAATTCTCCAACAACCCTGTAACATATTATCATTATCCAGACTTTACACATAAAGAAATAAGGTGCAAAGAGGTTAAGCAACTTGCATAAGGTCAACAGCTCTAGTTAAATTAGAGACAAAGATCAAGGACTTGCTAAGCTATAGTGTTAGAAAATTGACTCATGTGGTTTGTGAAACAGAGAGGCTAGTAGTAAAAGAAGAGAAGGAGCCTGGCGTCAGAGTTTTCGGGAAATGTGGGGAGTGACCTGGAGGAAGTCTCCAGCAATAGCCTCACAGATGCAGTTAAAAGTCCCAACATCAAATTGTTCTCACATGTAGAAATACATTTTCCCAGACCAATAATCAAGGAAAATCATATTCATCTGTATAAAATTACTGACAAAAGCACTGAGATAAATATTTTATATATGAATTTAGCAAAGACATCAACTTTTGCTGAGCTATCCACAGCACTAGCATTTGGTTCATTGACCACATACAACTTGCTCCTGAGAACCATGGCCACCTTCTAAAGACGGACACCTGAAACCAGAGGGACACTATCCATGGCGGTGTTTTCTTTCTCTCTCTCTCTTTCTTTCTTTCTTTCTTTCTTTCTTTCTTTCTTTCTTTCTTTCTTTTTCTTTCCTTCCTTCCTTCCTTCCTTCCTTCCTTCCTTCCTTCCTTCCTTCCTTTTAAGTAGGCTCCACGCCCAACATGGGGCTCAAGCTCACCACCTGTGATCAAGAGTCACATGCTCTACTGACCGAGCCAGCGAGGTGCCCCCATGGCAGTGTTCCTAACCACGGTGAGATGCTCATTTCCAATCAGAGAAACTGAAAATCTACCAAATTCTATTATTATAGATTTTTAGAGACAACATAAATGACAAAATATTTCTCTTCATTAAGCCCAAGAGATGGAAAAAATAATCTCTGAAAGCTTCTCCCGCCCCGCCCCCCCAACCAGGTCTCAATACATATATGATATTTCCCCGTCACCTGAAGGAATCTCACCGAATGGGTAGAGTGGGTCCTTCTGGTCCATCCATCTCATAAGAGAAGACATTATCCCATTTAAATTGTAGGTGCCAGTTGAAAGCACCCCTTACAACAGGAGAGGGCCAGTATTCTAGGGTCACAGAATCAATGACATCTATCAGAGGACACACCACCATTTTGGGGTCCTTGACAATGGCATGCAGCAGGGGCTCCAGCCACACTTTATTCACCTCGCAGTGGCTATCCAGGAACACCAGAACGTCCCCTGGGGAGGCAAGAATAGGCTAGTGTTAGTGCATATGGACGAAACATCCGACGACCCAGATCGAAGTTCAATGCAAAGAGTACCTGTTGAGCGTTTACTACGTGTTTGGCTTTTATGGTGCATTCCGTTTCACTGGCGGTGGGTTGGGACTAGAAACTCATACTTTATTTTGTGCAAAAATGTGGGCCATGATGTGTCATAGAAGTTCAGAAGAAGTTGGTGAACTGTGGGTTAGAGAGTCGTTTGAAGATTCTAAAGAAGCAGGTGGGGGGCGCCTGGGTGGCTCAGTTGGTCAAGTGAACGGCTCTTGGTTTCGGCTCAGGTCACGATCTCACAGTTTATGAGTTCAAGCCCCGCATCAGGCTCTGCGCTGATGGCTTGGAACCTGCTTGGGATTCTCTCTCTCTCTCTCTCTCTCCCTCCCTCCCTCCCTCCTTCCCACTCTCTCTGCCCCTCCCCTGCTCACACACACACACACACACACAGTCTCTCTCTCAATATAAATGAAACTTATAAAAAAGGTTTTTCTCAAGCTGTCATCACAGAGCCCAACGTGGGGCTCGAACCCATGGACCATGAGATCATGACCTGAGCTGAAGTCAGACACTCAACCCACTGAGCCACCCAGGGGTCCCGATGCATAACCATTTTTGTTCTTGAGTTCAAGCTTTAATGAGTGTCTGCTTAGAGAACATGGAGAAAACTGGCATGGCCAAAGTAAAGAAAACATGTTGCTAAAGTACATTAGATGGGCTCAGATTGGAAGGGACCTCAAAATTCAGGTGCAGAATTCAGACTTTTTCTTGCAGCCAACATAAAATCATAGGAAGTTATGAGAAATAGCCCATGTTTGATGAGAAGAGTTAGTATTGTTCATATGGTAATAATCTCCAAATTGATCTATAGATTCATACAATCCTTATCAAAATCATACCTGGTTCTTTTTGCAGAAACTGATCCCAAAATTCATGGAGAAAGGCAAGGACCCAAATCAGCTAAAACAATCTTGAAAAAAGAACAAAGCTGAAGGAGTTCTGGATTTCAAAACTTACTACAAAGCTATAATAATAAAACAATATGATACTGTCAGAAGGAAAGACATAAAGACCAAAGGATAGAATTGAGGTCATAGACATAAACCAAATATCTGTGGTCAACTGATTTTTGACAAGGGTGCCTAGACAATTCAATGGGGGAAAAAAAGTTTCTTCAATAAACAGCCCTGACCCAACTGGACACCCACATGAGAAAGAGTGAAGTTGGACCCCCTACCTCCTAGAAAACACAAAAATTAGGTCAAATCAATCACAGACCTAAAAAGGTCAGAGCTGAAACTATAAAACTTTTAGAAGAAAATATAGACATACATTTCTGACCTCAGGTTAGATGTGACACCAAAAATAGAAGTGACAAAACAAAAAATAAGTAAGATTTCATCAAAATCAAAACCCTTTGTGCTTAAACAGACACCATAAAAAAGTTGAAAAAAGTCCACAGAATGGGAGAAGTTGTTTGAAAATCACATATCTGATAAAGAACTTGCATCCAGAATATATGAGGAACCCTTCCAAGTCAATAACAAAATGACAACTTAATTAAAACATGGGCAAAGGATTTGAATACAGGCGCCTGGGTGGCTCTGTCGGTTAAGCATTCAACTCTTGATTTCAGCTCAGATCATGATCTCACAGTAGTGGGATCGAGTCCTGCATCGGGCTCTGTGCTGAACATGGAGCCTGCTTGAGATTCTCCCTCTCCTTCTCTCTCTTCCCCTTCCCACCTCAAAAATAAAATAAAAGTCTTAAAAAAAAAAAAAAAAGGATTCGAATAGACATTTCTCCAAAGAAGATGGACAGATGGCTGATAAACGTACGAAAAGGTACTCAACATCATTAACCATTAGGAAAATGCTAACTAAAATCACAGTGAGAGAATACTTCACATCCACTAGGATGGCTAAAATCAGAAAGGCAGAGGATAACAAGTGTGGATGCAATTGTGGAGGAATTAGAACCCTGTCCTTCGCTGATAGCAATGTAAAATGTTGCAATCTCTTTCAAAATTTACGTGGTCATTCCTCAAAAGTTACACATACACTTGCTATACAGCCCAACAATTCTACATCTAGGTACACACATACCCAAGAGAAAAGAAACAGGTTTATACAAAGTCTTGCGCATGAATGTTCATAGCAGCATTCTTCCTAAGAGTAAAAAAGTCATAACTTAGGGGCACTTGGGTGGCTCATTTGGTTAAGTGTCCAACTCTTGATTTCTGTTAAGGTCATGATCTCATGGTTTGTGGGTTTGAAGCCTGAGTCAGGCTCTGCACTGACAGCACAGAGCCTGCTTAGGATTCTCTCTCTCCCTCTCTCTCTCGTGCTCTTGAAGGAAGGAAGGAAGGAAGGAAGGAAGGAAGGAAGGAAGGAAAGAAAGAAAGAAAGAAAGAAAGAAAGAAAGAAAGAAAGAGAGAAAGAGAGAAAGAAAAAAAAAAGTCATAACTCAAATGTCCCACAATGGGTGAATGGATAAACAAAATGTGAGATATCCAGGGGCGCCTGGGTGGCTCAGTTGGTTAAGCATCCAACTCCTGATTTTGGCTCAGGTCATGATCTCATGGTTGTGGGATCGAACCCTGTGTTGGGTCCCTTGCTGAACATGGAGCCTGCTTAAGATTCTGTCTCCTTCTTGGGGGGCCTGGGTGGCTCAGTCAGTTGAGCATCCAACTTTGGCTCAGGTCATGATCTCATGGTTCATGGGTTCAAGCCCCACGTCAGGCTCTGTGCTGACAGCTCAGAGCCTGGAGCCCATTTCAGATTCTGTGTCTCCCTCTCTCTCTGCCCCTTCCCCACTCATGCTCTGTCTCTCTCTCAAAACTGAATAAACATAAACAAACAAAAATCTCACTCCTTCTCTCTGCCCCTCTCCCTCACTTACATTCTCTCTCTCTTTCTCAAAATAAATAAACATTTTTTTAAAGAGTCCCATTTTGGGGTACCTGGGTGGCTCAGTTGGTTAAGTGTCCGACTCTTGGTTTCAGCTCAGCTCATGATTTCACCGTTTTGTGAGTTCAAGCCCCATGATAGGCTCCGTGCTGACAGTGCGGAGCCTGCCTGGGATTCTCTCCCTCTCTCTCTCTCTCTCTCTCTCTCTCTCTCTCTCTCTCTGCCCCTCCTCCACTCACGCTGTCTCTGTTTCTCTCAAAATAAATAAATAAACTTATAAAGAGTCCCATTTTGAACACATCTAATTTTTTCATACTATTGGAAGTACACACAGTGTTCAACACTTTGCATTTTTCACTTCAAATAGCTTCTATAATATTACCCAACAATAACATTTTCAAAGCATGTCTGCTAATTTGACAGGTGAAAAATTAACATCCAGTTCTCAAGAGGCCATCTACAAATGGCCAACAAGCACATGAAAAGATTCTCAACATCATTAGTCGTTAAGGAAATGCAAATTAAAACCATAGTGAGATACCAATTCATCTCTACTAGGATGACTGGAATTTAAAAAAAATTTTTTTTAACGTTTATTTATTTTTGAGAGACAAGAGACAGGGACATAGCATGAGCGGGGGAGGGGCAGAGAGAGAGGGAGACACAGAATCTGAAGTGGGCTCCAGGCTCTGAGCTGTCAACAAAGAGCCTGACGCAGGGCTCGAACCCACGGACCATGAGATCATGACCTGAGCTGAAGTCAGACACTTAACCAACTGAGCCACCCAGGCGTCCCTAGAATTTTTTTCAGATCTTTTTTTAACTTTTATTTATTTTTGAGAGACAGAGAGAGACAGAGCATGAGCGGGGGACGGGCAGAGAGAGAGGGAGACACAGAATCTGAAATGGGCTCCAGGCCCCGAGCTGTCAGCACAGAGCCTGACGCGGGGCTCGAACCCACAGACCACGAGATCATGACCTGAGCTGAAGTCAGAGGCTCTACCCTCTGAGCCACCCAGGCGTCCCTAGAATTTTTTTTTTTAAGACAGAAAATAACAAGTGTTGGCAAGGATGTGGAAAAATGGCAACTCTTCTCCCTGGCTGGTAGGAATGTAAATGGTACGGCTGCTGTAGAAACATTTAGCGCTTCCTCAAAAAGTAGACTTCCTGCGCGACCCAGTAATTCCACTCCTAAGTACACACTCAAAAGAATTCAACTACACGTATGACCGCGTTCCTAGAAGTACTCCTTACAACAGTGAAAAGGTAAAAACAGCCCAAATGTCCAGCCACAGATAAATGGAGAACCAAACTAAGGTATAGTTATCCGACAGAATATGATTCGGCCATAAAAAAGAATGAAGGGCAGATACATGCTACCTGTAGAAGAATCCCCAAAACGTTGTTGGATGAAAAAGCCAGACACAAAAGGTATGACTCTATTTACAGGAAGTATCCAGAATAAGTAAATCTAAAGACAGAAATCAGATTACTAATCTACCAGGGGCTGAGAGAAGGAAAAGTGGGGAGAACCTGCTGAATGGGGTTTTCTTTCGGGGGGTGACACAAATGTTTTGGGACAGGACAGAGAGTGTGCTTACGGATCACTATGAATGTCCTGAGTGCTGTTGAACTGTTCACTTCAACATGGTTAATATCACGTAATGCAAATCTCACAACGTTGAAAAAAATGACGTCTGCCAAAGAAGACCTACACATGGCCAACCGGTACGTGAGAAGGGGTTCAACATCTCTCATCATCAGGGAAACGCAAGTCCAACCCACAACGAGCCGTCGCTTCACCCCGGTTGGAATTACCGTTATTAAAAAAGACAGGAAACAAGTAGTGTTGGTGAGGATGCGGAGAAGAGGGCGTCCCTGTGCCCTGTTCGTGCGGATGTAAATGGGTGCGGCCACCGCAGAAGATAGTGCGGAGGCTCCTCAAAAAAATTACGGACAGAACTACCACGTGATCCAGCAATCCCACCTCTGGGCATGCATCACAAGAAAATGAAATCACTATCTTGAAGAGATATCCGCACCCCCGTGTTCATTG